ATATTTATCCTATCTTATACATATACAGCTAAAGTACAGAGCTAAAGGTTGATTCATATATCACTTTGGTTTCCCCCGTGAATCGTATCGTTCGCGCTCCGTCGCAACAGGTCGTGTAGGATTCTGATGAGGCTTGCATTCACCTTTTTAACTGGTATGTGAAAATGTTTTTAAAGTCTTTTTTCAAATGGAATGGATTGTTGTTTGTCATATAATAGTGCGTAAGCTTAATGATCGCAGCCATATCACGCATTATCACAAATTAACGGTCATTTTGTCGCAGTCCTACACAGTGATGCATTTGCTGGAATCAAGTTTTGAAAATTTAACTTTTCTGAGTATTCTACGGATATCTTCTTATAGATAATTGATTCGGTCATACGCGCGTAAAGATTTTCATATTCGGTGATGTTAATTAGTTTTGCGATCAGAACATATGTTCAACACTGAAAATGAGTAATGAGTGACCTTCACGATTCATATGTAATGACTTCAGGGTCATTAATTTTCAATTAACAATTAAAATTCCATCAGCAACAGTTTTGAACCGCTGCTCATTATTTAACTTCTGCAGTGAAGCAATAAAAAGCAAAAACTCAGAAGATTCCGTCATCAAACTCGGATGACCGCTATTTGAGATTGGCATCACCTAACTGATCACCTCACTTATAACCTTTGATCTACGCAATATTGGGTATGTAATCGACTATCCTCACTTGAATTCTCAGAAAGGAGCGTTGAGGTTCACTTACAAAAAACATGAATGTCTTCAAACGTGCTAGCCTCTAACATTGCTTCTTCGGACAAGCAAATAGTTGAGAACATACCGGATTATAACTGAAACATCAGATATCGTTATACTAACTGAATTGTCTGTTTTCACGAAATCTGACCTAGTTCAATCTATTTATTACTCAAAAATGATGATTGTTTGAACGTGATCTGATGTGTTGTTAACGTTGTAGTTTCATCCAAATTTCATTCATATGATCAGTCACTGAAATTTATCGAATACAAATTCGTTTTTGTGCGACCAGTTTGCAATGTGTACAGCAGACATGGCCATCGAAACATAATGACACTCGACTAATTACCTTGAGCTCTAATTATGATGGGCACATCAACAACAATTCCTTCACAATCGTCATTCAATTAATCTCATACTCGGTCCGCAGCGCGCACGTGAACCATTCAATCACCATTGAACATACTCGAAACATGTTGCATTCGTGCTCACATTTTCAATCATCTACAATGATTCCAGTGAAAGTGAATTTACAAGATTCTTATCTGATTTGATTAATGCTCCATTCGGAATGATTATTCGTAATCGCAACGAATCACAATCGAATGATTGCTACTGAATGATTCATTGATAATTGCTTTCGATGATTTCAATTAATCACGATTGATGCTAATTAATCGAAACTGACAACGATCAGATTGGATGGCGGAATATCCGACTTGCCGAAACAATGTCTTTAAGTGATCTTTCAAGGCCTTTTAATAGTCGACCGTTAATTAGTGAATACGATACGGACAAAGCATCAATATTTTTTTCATATTTTTGAAATAGTAAAGTGCTGAATGTAAACTGCTCAAATTTTCCGACATGAAAATATTCGTTTCGATAAAATTTGCATAAAACTCTGAAATAATCGAGCAGCTGAGCGGAATGGGAACGAAGATGACTATCATTTTTATTGAATGCTGTAAATGAGGCTGTTGCTTCCTTTTTGGGAAGTACTTGTTGTGCGAAATTCAGCACTGCTTCAGCTGAAAACGGTACGTTGCTGGTTTTTTGTACGGGCATTTGAAACGATTCTATTGATGCATCAGCAAATTTCTCGAGATGACTTTTGGTTTCGGAGGTGCTCGTGAAACTATATCAGATCAGATTGCATTCATTTCAATCGATCATTCCACAAATGGATAGTCTGAACTGAATCCTATAGCTGATCGATGTTTATTGTGATACTGATAGAAGCAATCGTCTTTACGACACTGTGTTTAATTATTTGAGTTTTCAGCGTTTACTAACAAACAATTTGAGTGATCAAGCCAAATTCCAAAAGGATCTTTCAAGCAAGCTTAAATTTCAACTGAAGCAGCATGCAGATGATTTTTTTGACTTCGTCACAGAGTTGGTTTCTTTATCCCATTAGTTGATTTCAGCGGACAATCCGAACTGTTGAATAGGACAGCTGGGAAGCAAGCGACAATAACTGATTGTTTGAATGCTTTCAGCATATTTCAACTGAGTCGAAAAGATAAACGCAAGGCGACGGGATGTCGAAAATATACCTTTCTCAAAGCGAAGGACTTAAGATTGAGGTTCATTCATGAACATGAGTTCCACTTCATGTCTAACGATTTTAACTTGAATCAGCTGAAAAAATACGAAATTCTTGAGTATGGATGGCGCTGAATTAATGTTTGTGATACATTCATATGAAATTTTCAATGATGTGATCTTACAGCACGTTGATACCGTTGCTTGGATGCGATTCATCACAAATTGCTTATGTTTTGTTTCAGCGTGATTCATTTTTCAATAATACTTTTAAGGTTAGTTTCGTACAGAAACCCTTTTATTCGATTGTTCTGAAGACATGAATATCCGTATTGAAAACATGAAAAACATGAATATCTGAAAACGTGTCATGTGACACTCGAAACCAAAATCTTCCTTTCCCTGACCCCCAGATTACTGGATAGAACGTTTACATAATGATCCTCACATATATGAGTGATTCTTTCAGATGCTAGATTCGTTGGGCTGTTTAACACTTCACAATTTCGATCAACTGCAATATCGCCATTTCCGTATGATTGGATACGACGTGAACGATGAAAAAGAGCTGCCACGATTTCGTAACGGTTACCATTTCACGTAATTAAAGAATCGTTGAAGTGTGTTCTTGAATGCCTTCACGAAACGCTTTCAGTTCAGCCCCACATCAAATTTCAAATATCGGAACCCTGATTTGTCACTTAATAATTTCAAGCTAACAACAAATTTGACCGAACAGTTGATCGATCAAATTTCAGAGCAAATATTCGCCAATGTAATCGCAATGAATATCGATGATGAAGATGATGATAGCATTGGTTGTGATAAGCTTCTAGGACATAACTGATGTAGTTGATTTAAGCTGATTTGTTGTGATTACTGCTCAAACACACAACCATCACAATCACATCAGTTCATTAGCAAGGCACTCATTTAGCTAGAGCTAGCCTTCTCATTCTTCTCTTCGTAGCATTTTTCTTCCGATATTGAATTACCAATCCCATAACTCTCCTCAAAGATCGTCAAATTCTCATCATGGGGGAGCTTTCCACGTCTAATATCTTCGATAATGAACGCGGACAAAGTAAACTTTCTGTATCAATCACTTATTGACAATGTCCTCAGGTTGAATACCTCCTATATCGTTTCCTGTTTTTGCTCCAATAAAACCGAAGTTCATACGGTGTTGGGTAAATTTCTGAAGCAAAACATTTCACATCGAATGTTTACAGTTTTTCTTCGAATATTCCTTTTCGGCTGGATCATCTCCGGATCTTGTTTAGCAACCAATCTCTATCATATAAAATTGCCTCTTAATATGAAATGATCACTTTCGATATGTTAATTGCAACACTGAATGATAATTGCAACACATCACCACACATGTGTATCAAACTTGAACTATTGTCGTACTTTTTAAAAATTATCGCAGAGTTAACTTAAATAAATTATCGCAGAGTAAACTTAAATAAACTATTGAAATGATCACATTCATCGGATTAACAGTGCGATCACACGAAGGGATTACCACCTCCATCATAGCGGATAAAATCACCTATTTGGAAACAAGCAATTCATGAATGAATATTTAAGAAATGCTCAATGGTATACATTCATTCGGAATCCACAAACAAGTTGTGTTTTAATAGAAAGCGTTTGAATCTTCTGCGAAAACGCGATTGAAAAATCAAACGGTGAAGTGGCACTCAAATCGCTTGTTCGTAATTCTCTTCTACTATTAGCAACACAGCTCATCATCCACTCTCTAGTATTCTCATCGGTCATCGTTTTGCATTAGTTGCTCCTTCAGAATCCAGTTTCTGAATGATCTACGATGCAATCAACTCGTTTACTTGCGAATTTGTTTACTCAAACACTCTTCATGTTGTTTCTTCAATCAGTTCACCATAAGCATCAATTAAAAACTTCAACAACAATGAACACAAATTTGGACGTATGAACAACTCACTCGGCGAACCAACGCAATATGAAACTTTATACAGTCTGTACAATCGAATAAAGATTTCAGTTGAGTTTCGAAAATAAATCACATATTATGTCAACGGGATAGTCTTCAGGTAATCTGGATCAGTAGCGATAATTTTCGCGATGAAAAATGCATGCATCGTATAGACAATTGCCAGCACCTCATCGCTCTCGATATCCTCAAACGAAGCAACTTCATTAATGAGCATGCGTTATCATATCAATTTAGAACTCAATGATGAAAAATCCGCATTTGAGAAAAATTTTTATGGGGAGGGAATAGTTTTTTGGTGGCAGCTGAAGCAATGATGATATATGGTCACACTGATCGTGAAATCCACACAGTCGTCGATGAAAATCATCTTGAAAAAGCGCTCACCTTCGTTATGACTCCACTGTTTGGTTGGTTTTTGTCGTCACGAAAAACGAGTCGCAGCAGAATTTTGCCATCATCTGTGGATGAATCTAGATCACTGAATCGATACTGCCAAGTGTAACGCTGCAATTACGTGAAAACATTTCCTACTTCAGAATGATGCCTGCGGATATCACCACATCAACCGATTACGTTTGCATTCAGTGGAAAAAATGTTGCGAATAACTGTCATTGTCACAGTAGTCGACGGTGATTGCAAACAACCAAGCGATCGATCTCGCATGGTCAAAACTGCACTCTAAACGATAACAGAACAACAAATTGCGCTATTGCGATCAGGAAGTCAAATATGGGAATAGAATATGAGGGGTGGAAAGCATTTTGGTATGGAACCTTTGTTGGAATATCGTAGAGACTAATGCCTTGTTTGATGTCGAGTACGAGGCCACATGGACGACCCTCGTGGCTGCATGCAAAAGTTCTGGTCTGCAAATAAAGTGTCATTCAAACATTGTCGAAACAATCGAATATTTCAAGCGAATGCATTCGTTTATTTACGATATCATGCGTCAGCGATTGTCAAAATGTAAAATGCGCAATGGAAATAGAAAAATATGCAACCGACTTGAAGATTATAAACAGTAGCGTGTAAGCAACGGTGATAGGCGCTCTCGAACTGGCTGAACTGTTGCGTGGTTTCAGTCGACATATAATGCTTGACATTATTCACTGAGGTTTCCAACCAAAACGCATGATCCCTCTTGTCCAGTGCCGGCTTACCCTTTTCGACCACTTTAAATGCGGTATCGTAGACTTTATAGAGCGAAACACACTTGTTCAAGTCCTCTGAGTTTAGCTGAAATAACGCGAAAACCACTCAAACGCTTGAAGCAATCTTAAGAAGCCACTCAAATAAAATCACTGTCGTCATGAGCATCATTACAGATTACGATCATCACATTATGACTATTGCCTTACAATCGCTACGTTTGATCTGCACAAGTGAACAATTGAATTGTGGCCGATCATCCAATTTTCACTTGCGAAAGTATTTAAAGACATTAGAAATGTTCAAATAAAATTTGAATCACCATTCATCAAACAAATATATACATAATTATCTAAATATTAAACTGAGGGAATACATTCCATCACAAAGCAAAGACAAAGAACAGGTACAACATACTGGTGGTGACTCGAAGATACACAGTTCGCCTCCTTTTAAAATGATGAATCGAGGTTCCCATCGCTGTTTCGGATCCTCAAAATGTTCCTCCGGCAAGCGTTCACTCACCCAACCAATATAGGTTATCTGAGAAGCAGTATAGAAATCTCATACAGATAAAGCGTTTGACAATGAAAAATGGAAACATATTAAAGGAGTTGTTAAAAGACGATCGTTTACGAATGCTCTGATTTGATGCAAAGCATCGAACCTGTTCACTTTTATGCAAGTATTTATTGGACATCTTGATGGATTTATAGTTGAGTGAGGTGATATGGTTTTGAATGTGCTTAATCCACTGATCCAAAGCCTTCTTGTCCTCGCAATGAATGATTCCGGTTGATGTGCCGTCTACGGCTCGAACTTCGAACGCGTTATTCCTCAATCAAACACGATCAATTCACTATCGACTTCTCAAGATTGGGGCGCTCAAGGTTACTGTTGGCTCCGAATTTTAGTGATTATGCGGGTTTTCAAAATTTCTTTCAAATTTTAACATTTGAACATCATTTCGGAAATATTTTGACAAGTTGCATATTCTGTATATCACAAAAGATTACTGCTGGAATGTAGGTAGCCGAAAATGAGATCCAATCGTATTCATTATACCTGATTTTATCAGTTCCCCACAGGTATCTTGTAATGAAAGCCATCGGAAGAGGTATTTTTGCCAGAGTTTTCCATCCGTCCGGAGCGTCGTCTTCGAATCTGCTCTCAACACCCTCTGATTGTTTTCGGTCGCTGCGTTCACCAGGCATATTTTCCGAATGTGTTTTCAGCGCACTCTGAATGCATGAATGCTACTTTTATGAACACTCGCATTATGCACGTACCATTTAGTACCATCCATTTTTGTAATAAACACCTCATAATACTACACTAAATTTTCTGAACACTATAAATATGCTGTAAGTGCTATAAATGTTACTCCAAATGTGATTCATAAAGAAAGCGAATGCTCCGAATGAACTGTTTTTATTATCGTCAATAAACTCCGATCTTATAAATGCGATAAAATTTCGGTGTTACATTTCCTCTTTATATTGAAAGCAGTGGAAGGGAATGATGAAAGAAGCGTTTAATTGATGTTTTGATCAGCAACAATCAAATTGGTTTGTTGTTTCATTACCTTCCACGTATTCGGTTCATAAAGTCGATCCAATGCACTACCACTCTTGCCTGGTCGAAGTGAAACGGCTGGACTGAAAGTTTACAGCCCAATTGAAAGACTAATCATCAACAAGCAGGAAACAAACATGATCTGAACGACTATTTGTCCAAAAGAGAAGCTGAGGTTAACTCTGAGATACTTCACTTCTCACATAGTCACAGAATTGCTGGAATTGTCGGAGATAAAGACGAACTTGAGATACGGAGCAATCTGAGTGTAATGTCTGACACTCAACGAGACATCATCTCCAGCATCTCGCAGTAACTGTACAACTTCATCATGCGTTTTGCCATCCACCAATTGACCGTTCACCTCAACTATCGCATCACCAACATACAGTAAACCACTTTGCTCAGCTGAAACACCAGTCTAGCTTCATTCTAACCATATCTACATACAAAATAAGTACAAAATCATTTGTTTCGTAACTTAATGGTTCCAAAATGACTGTCGAATAGCTTTCAAATTACTCAGAACTTATGGATTCAAGAACGCTCCCCTACCATGTTCCCCGAGCAACCACTATGAAAGAGAGCTATGCGATGAGTTGTCTCAAAATGTGAGATAAATCAAGAAATGGAAAAATCCGACTTTAATACCTGGCATGTTCGGAAATATTTTCGAAATGAGGACTGGTAATTGCTGATTGCCATCGTTGCCACCCTATAAGACAAAGTTCAAAACTGATGCATCAGTAAATTGAAAAGTGCATGAATGACACAAACACAGCTAAACCACTAATAACAGAAGTCTTAAAAAAGTTAATTAGAAAAAGATCACAGAAAAAGGGTTTCCTCTTTTGATTGAACTCTACGATGGGAGTCACTTAGCAACGCCATTATAATACACACATAACGGTGAAGCAGTTATAGCAATAGATAAAAATTAAAATCGAGCAAATGATTGTTGCACTGTAAGTCTTGACTGACCTTAATTGACAGTCCCAGACCACCTTCTTTACGTTTTCGAAGTCGGACAATTCTCATTCCACCATCTGGCGGCTCCACGCTTGATAGTTTCACATCTTCACCATCAGATCCCCCGGCTGTTATTTGTATTGTGAGTAAATCTGTAAGGAGGATGATTTGATTCATGCTTCATGCTCAGTTGATTGTAAACAAAGGTTCTCTGCATTTTTTTCTCTTGTCAGACTGACAGCTCTGTTGACTTCACCCGACACGCATAATTTCATTTTGAAATGTTGGTGGTGACTCAACTAGATCGCATTTTTTCTTTGTTTGATTGCAGTTTGCAAATGCTGCCGCAATACACTAGCGATATGCGATTGAAGCAACCAGGCACCAACAATTTTTGTGCTCTCTCTTTGGGTATTCTGATTACGTCCTCATCTGATTCACAATTCACGCTCACGATTCCATTTGATTTCTGATTCATTACTTGCGTTTGCTGAAATACTTCCGTCAAAACTCTATGAAATCATGCACTCAGCGATTTAGGTACATCGCAGTGCGTTTTGCTTCGCAGTGAATCTCATTTTGACATAGTGAATGTCTTCTTGTGGAAAACAAGATAATGTGATTTGAACCTTTTGTGAGCTCGAGCCTGGCTGGACGTCCACGTCCTTTGCCATCGCTGAGCAATACCATTCCATGATGCACCTGAAAAGTTAGAATCGTCGATTGAATAACATCTATCAGCATGTAGTTCACTGAGAGGATAAGGAAGTATATTTCAGTGGTCAAATACCATTCAGTTAGGTAATCCGTGAGCATCTTACTATTAGTTCGCTTTGAAATGACCATTTAGTTATTTTGCTAGCATGCAATGAACAGTCATGACGAAATTATTGACATCTCAATGGGAACCAGCTAATTTGTTGTCAACTGATTAAATGAAAGCGCAAACGCTTTGTGTAATAATTGACGTTCGCTGTTGATATTTTCGGATCGCATTTTTAAATTTAATGCCGTATTAATCCCAATTATCGAGCAAAAATTTTGTGAACCATTGCAAAATTGCGAATAACAATTTTCAATAAAACAATACTGGTGCAAAATTATTCGTGCGACATTGCTGCGGTTACATCCCATAAGAGACGAATAGTATAAACGACTCATGACGCAATTTGAAAGCGGCCAAGAGAACGGTCAGGAGAAGCCATTTTGCTAGAGAACCTACCACATCCAGATGTCTCGATCGAGATCTGTGCTGTTGTGGATGATCACTTGTTTTCGATGCACTCCTTGAGCCAGCCAGTTTGATCACTCACCTGAACGCAATTGATCACTTTGAATTAAAGTTGTCATTCGAAAAAAAAATCGAAACAACATTTTTTTCTCGCAATTGGACTCAAATTTTTAAATGTTGGAAAAAACTGTTGAGAAGGATTTCATCGTTTGAGTCTTTCTTTACACCAATGATTCACTACTGACGGCTTTAACGCCGCCATGTTTGTAGGATTTTAAACACGAGAATGTGGGCAAATATCAATGGCAATGCGATGATTCAAGATGTGCCCAACTCAATCAGAAACTGAAATATGGCGAGAATTGAAAATAAAACAATGCAGCGAAGGTGTCAGCAAGCAAGCCAACGCCGTAAGGAATGTTTATAGTAAATTGAGCCGATTGTACAATATGATGGTGATGGCGATGAAGATCATATGCTTATAATATAATGGAAAATGATGCGGCAGCAGCAGCAGCAGCAGCACGTAACAACGTTAAAACGTTCAAAATCATCATCGGTTGGGTGTAATAATGTTGAGGAAGGATGCAAGCCGCTGGCCAACAGCTTAACACGTTCTGAATTTATTCAGTCAGTCAGTCAGTCAGTCAGTCCATTCATTGTTGGCTGACGATTTTACATTTTAAGCTTTGATTGACGATTCGAGCAGCTGAGGAGCTGTGTGAGCTGATGAACACTACGTTGCTGCTGCTGCTATACACTCTCAGAATGAAGATGATGCATTGAAGAGCGATTTTATTGCGTTGATTACATCATAATGGAGTAATGGCATTAGCATTCGGGCAATTTACATTGATCATACTAGTTGGTGAGATTGTGAAAATCGCACTTAGAAGTTAGCAAGGAATCGAGTATTTTGTGATAGCATCTTTCAGGGTGGATTTCAATGGCGCTAGATTTCGCAAAGCATCTAACAATAAGCGCTGAATTGGCTTATTTGGCTCATTCTTCTTAAGAATTTGTAGATGTTTCCCTGGCATGTTACAGTCATAGCATCATCGATGAAATGAAATCAATCATGATGATAGCGTTCCGGATACCATTCTCAAGCTGACTGCTCTGTGATCACATCACAGCAGATATTGTCTGGATGACATTTGGTCGCTGGATTCATAAGGCCAGCAGGGAATCGTTGCAAACTTAAATGGTACTTCAGAATTTGCTGAAACTTAACCCATGAAAATCGGAAGAATCAGCTTGAAGCTTTTCTGAATTCAACGATATCCTTATTGGAATGAAGGTCATAAAAACATCATGAAATGATCTTAATTGGAATGAACTCACTGTGTGCACCATTGTGCAGTGATACTTTTTCGTTTGCAGATTTTTTGCAGCTTTTTACGCCTCGCCGTTTATAACTTTTTTCGAAACGTTTATATGGCATATTCTCTCTTTGCTGTCCAATTTTACTGATGCGGATCAGTCATTTAGAATTATCTAAATTGAGAGCTGAATAAATATTTCACATAAATGCTCCCCTCAATATTCGAAAGCAGTTGTCCGAGCAGCTGATTCCATTAGAAGGATCCTAAAAGTGAGCAACATAACATACTGACTTGAGAATATTACCAGGATGCACTTACCTGTCCTTGCATTCTGAACTGGTCGAATACAATGATATTTATTCACCAGTCTCTCATCCGCTACTTCTTCGCACTGAAGCACATTGTGTTTAACTATTCTTAGTTTTGATCTTCAGGAGTTTATTCAGAAATTATTTGAAATCAATGTTTTGCCTGATATATTGTGGCTAACATGAGTTTTCACCATTTTTCATCACTTCAAACCCCTTAGTGCCTCTATAAAAGCCATATAAAGAAACTCATTGCGGTGTTTCAAAGCGAGAATTCAGGATCACCGATATTTCGAAAATGAAGCTGTTCGATGGTTGATCAGTGAGTGTGAGATTATGATAAGCATTTCAGAAACTGCGATATTAGATTATCCTTAAAAATACCGTTAAACAGTCGTTTCGGCGTTTATTTTGTAATAAGACTGTTTTATATTGTCGAAGCATAAAGCATTCATATCATACAAACACAAAAGGGGGAGATCTTCCATGTAAGATATACGAAAGTCAAATTTCATCATCCAAATCGATAGTGCATCATATCCGTATACATCTTATACATATACAGCTAACTTAGCGGTTTAAAGGTTGATTTCACATATCACTTTGGTGTCGCCCACGGATCGTCTCTTTCGCGCTCTGTCCGGATAAATCGTGTGCAGTAGATCTTCTGTTTGTCAGTGTAGCT